GGAAGAATCAGACTCCGAGTCTGACCTGGGTCGCTTTGAGGAAGACGACGACCAGTAATTTAGTTTGTTTCTAATAATTTGGTTTTTTTTTTGGGTTTTTATAATATCTGTGGGTAAAAGGCATAAGGGGATAAGTAAAAAAAGCAAGTTTTCAGTAGAGCCTTAAACGTATTCGCATTAATATAGGAAACATATTTATGGTTAGCGGGTATACCCTTTTGTTAGCCCATGTCCTATGCTAACAAAAGCGTATACCCGCTAAACAAATATATTTCCTAAATTAATGCGAACACGTTAAAGACTCTATTGAAAAATTGCTTTTTTTGACTTATCCCCTTATGCCTTTTACCCACAGATATATTATATAACATGTACGGTACACATGTATACGATGTTCCTATATTGTATAACATAATATTAATATGTAATAAAAATGTAATAAACTTTGTTTCTCAAAGCACATTTAATCTAAATTTGCCTAATTTATGTAGAAGATTATAGCAATTATGTTATGCCTATCTTAATATAATAGTTATTTATGTATTAAGGGCATAATAAGGTTTTTATGGTCCGAGGCGCTATTTCGAGCCCGAGCGCGTTAGCGCGAGGGCTAGAAAAGCGTCGTAGGACCATAAAAACCAGTTATGCCAGCAATGCATACAAAACTTTATGCACGATTAATATATTATTATTTTTAATACCTATATTATTGTTTTTAAAGACGTTTACGTCAAAGAATTTTTGTTATACTTGTCATATTATAATGTCAACTGACATCAGTCAGTTTTAAAGTTTAAAGATAAATGAAATTGAGGAAGCAGCTGAAAAGGCGAAAAATTGCGGCCTGCTGCCGGTAAAATCAAAATCTTTATACGAAAAAACTTACTTCGAATATATCAAATGGTGTAACATTGTTGTTTTTAATTTTTGACGTTTCATTATAGCCCGCTGGGCCATAATAACGCCCGCGGGCTATAAAAAGACGTTTACGTCAAAGAATTTTTGTTATAATTGTCATATTATAATGTCATCGTGCATAAACACTGTTTATTAATCAGCCCATAGCCAACCAACCATAGGCGGCCAACAATAAACGAGCGTTGGATTTTGCCTGGGCAGGTATGAATATACCTTAACGATGACGTCACATGTCATTGATGACCTGCACCCATACAGATTTAACCACAGACCTACAAACCAATTTAAGCTTCTTAGGCCAAATCAAGGCTCTTTCCTTACCTAGAATAGGAACTAAGCCATCTCAAAAAAGATGATTAACATATCCTTGTAAGAGGGTTGACCCTCCTCTTTTTGTGGAAGAGGATGTTGCTGAGAAGTGTATCCTTCCTGAGCTTCATATCTTACAAGGATTAATCATCTTTTTTGAGATGGCTTAGTTCCTATTCTAGGTAGGAAAGAGCATTGATTTTGCTTAAGAAACTTAAATTGGTTTCAAAAAATTATCAGGGCGAAACAATCTAAAACTTCTTGAACTTGACGTTCTTGGGGATGTCCCATTCAGATAGTTCCTTGTGGTCTGAACAACCGGGGGAGTCTATTCATAGGGAGTTTTTAAAATATTGGAGTCAAGATAAAATAAACCCAATAGATGACCTTAGCTACGGATTCCAGCTACAAAAGGCAGTTGTTAAATTTTCGTCTCGATACCTTTAGAATAATCTTATAATCTTAAATAATTTGTTATTTAAGTTATATAATATTTTTTGGTAACTTTTAATTGTGTTTTTTATTTAGTTTCAATAAATTTGTAAGTTTTTAAAATTGGTGCTGTGTTTTACACTTTTTTTCCAATAAAGAAATGCAACAAGTATAATTGTATAAAAAGGAATGGAAGGATCAGCTAGGATTTTATTTGTTGCATATTGATAATCCTTACTCGAGTACTTAATGGAATCTGAAGTCGTTTTTGGGTGTCATTTTCATGTGACCCATTTTTAGTTAAGGAATACTGTGCATTCTTTTCTAAATAACTAAAGTTAATAAAATATTTCATAAATATTAAAATATTTCATAAATATTAAAATATTTCATAAATATTAAACCAGGTTTGCATTTTATTTTTTATTATCTCCAATGAGCTTGGGCTTCATCTAGTTGATATATTCCAGCTTTGTTGATTTTTTTTTGAAATTAGCAAATACTGTTTGTATTACTTTTAAATTTTAAAAAATTTTAGTATTCTCAAAGTTACTACCTGCTATTTTTTATCAGTAATTTTGTTTACAAAACACTTAATTAGTCAACAAATTGTTTATAACAACCAGAAAAATTGACGCCATTAAATGTTAAACAATGACAGATTACGTGGTAACCATAGATACCTTCAACTCACCCGTCAAAGGTTCTTGATACAAAATAATATTTTAAATATCTCTGAAATTATTAACTTTAGGTATAGGGAATAGTTAAATTAATCGCAAGGATTTTTAATTTTCTATTTGGTTATGTAAAAACATATTTAAAATAAAAAAGTTATTAACGTTTTAAGTTAGCCTAATTGGCCTGGGTTTTCTCAAGTAATTTGTTGAGAAATATTAAAGAATTAATATGAAATGTTTTAAACAATGTTTTAAGATTAAACAAAAATTCTATCTCCATATCCGCAAACCTAATAACAAAAAAGTTATGGCCTATTTTTGATTGACACGCAATTGTCAAATTTTAACGAAAAAAATTAATAACTCAAAAACTAATTACTTTGGGTATAGGACATGGTAAAGTAATTTTACTCAGAATTTTATATAGAATTTAAAAATATAAAAATATATGGGGTGTTCCATTTAAAATAACAAAGTTGATGTCACTTCCGGTTAAACCGGAAGTGGAATTTTGTTTAAAACATTTTATAAAAATGTTCGAAGATGGATTATAAACGCTTTTCAAATTTTAAGTTGATATCTTTTTCCGTTCCCCAGAAACTTCTAATGGACCACGAACGTGAAACAGCCTGTATGGTCTCAAATCAATACCACGTATACATACCAAAATTGATCATTTACAATTAAAAAAAATTATTTGGGTTATACCTAATGTAACATTTTACCCACTTATTAAAAATCCAAAACCAAAATTAAAAACAAAAATGTGATTTTCAAAAAAATTATATTTTTATTTAATATTTATGAAATTAAGAAAAACCTGTTTTTGAAAAAATTGTCTTCATTGAAAATTTTTTTTTTTTAAATTTAAAAATACCAATTTATAATAATAAAAAGAGCATTTTTTATGTTATTTTTGAATAAATGCTTTATTTTTACTTGGTAAGGCCGTTAATAACTTTTATAAACCATTTTTTTTCTGCACCATGGAGAAAAAAAACGAAATAAATCATTTCTTTAAGCTTTCAAATTACTACTAGCATTTTAAAAATAATTTTTTTAATTTTCCAAAAATTGGGACATTTTTATAAAAATTGACTTGTACTTTTTATGTATTATCCGTAGTTGCAAGAATTCTGAAATATGTATTTTTTTTAATTATTTTTAAATAATTTTTAATATATTTAATTTTTTAAATATTTTAATGGGTAGGTACTAGTGATGCAACGGTTTCGGGTTTTACGGTTACGGTTACGGTTACGGTTAGCTATACGGTTACGAATAAATTCACGGTTATTCAAAAAAAAATTACAGAATTACGAAAAATAAAGTTTTGAAATTAATACACACGTTCAGTAAAGGTTAAATAATAATTTATGTAAAACAAAAACAGAATTTCTAATAAAACTGTAAAACAATAGGAAATGAGTTACATTTTAAACCTAAAAACAGTAAAGTCAAACCTAAGTAGGTACCTGAATAATATATTTAAAAATATAAAAAAATTAAATGTTAATATTTACGAGTAAAATTTTTATTTAAAAAACATAACATCTGCAAATTCTGCGGAATCAGACTGTTCCTATTTGGTGTTTGCACAAGACCTGCAGTCGAAAACAACCTCTACGAATTCACTGACAATGGTTTGTATAATACCTTAGTGCCAACACTCTTAAACGCCGAAACGTGTAACACGTTTTCCAGAATGTAAACGGATTTGACTTAGGTGGTATATTTGGTAACGTTAATTACTCTTCAATCTTTTTTTTACATGCATTCACAAAGTAGCATGAAAAACCGTAAATACGGTTACGGTTAACGACATACGGTTGCGGTTAACCGTATAATATCGAAAACCGTGAATTAACCGTAACCGTAACCGTAACCGTTGCAACACTAGTAGGTACTTTTATTATTTTTAATAAATAATTTTATTTCAGCGTATTTTAATAACTATAATAACTAGTAACTAGCCACTAATAATTCTCGTCAAAAGCAATTTGTATCCGGAACATTTAGCAGTTAATTTCCATGTAAAATTGTCCCCTGAATCCGAAAACGTCCGCAAAAGTAAACTGTTTTTGAGATATAGTCAATTTTCCATATAATATGGAATTGACTATATATCAAAAACTGCTTTACTTTCAAAATAAAGCATCCACTAATATATAAGTGTAGTAGGTTATTAGTCATTTTTGACTAATTCCTTTTTAGAGGGTACATATATATCGCATATTTGATAAATTATAATTATAATTTATCTATATATAGAGTTAAAATAAACTTAAACCGGTTTATTATAGTTTAAGAGGTTAAAAAGTAGTTAAAAAAGGGTAAAATAAACAAAAAACTACCAAATATTAACTTCTTTTTAACCAAAAGGTACATTAACCAAGAAGTTAAATTTAACTTATGTACATAACGTTAATTTTACCATAATTGAATTCCCCACTTATTACAAAATAACGTGGTTAATTTAACGTTATAGGACAATATGACTTAAATTAATTAACCACGTAAATTTAATATTAATTTAACCATTTGTGCTGCTTGGGTAATGTCTAGCATGCAAGATTATGGTGGAAAACCAGTTTTAAAAATTCAAATATTATTAATAATAATATACCCGTATATTTTAAATGGTTTTATGTATTGTTTTAGGCAATCTTATTTTACACACCAAGATGGTTATGGAAATCATGGGAAGGAGGTAAAATTCATGCACTAATGATGGATTTGGACGTAGGTGTTTGTTCAGAAATAGAAAAAAAGCAAAAGAAGAAACTTATGATTGATTATTTATGGGAAAATCTGAGATATCACAACTGGTGGGCATATAAATATTATCTATGTGAGCTTTTGGCCTTAGTAAATGTTATAGGTAAGTTTATATAATTTAAAATACAATGTAGCTTAGCATTGTTTTTGTTGTATCCTTTTTAAAATAGTTTTTATTACAGGCCAAATGTTTCTAATGAATCGCTTTTTCGATGGTGCTTTTTTAATGTTTGGATTTGAAGTTATTGCATTTCTTAACAATGACGAAGAAGAAAGAATGGATCCCATGATTAGGATATTTCCCAGGATGACAAAATGTACATTTTTTAAGTATGGTGTTTCCGGGGACTGGGAAAAACACGACTGCCTGTGTATACTGCCTCTTAACGTAGTTAACGAAAAAATCTACGTTTTTTTGTGGTTCTGGTTTATTATTCTCGGTTTATTGACATTCCTTACCGTAATCTATAGGATAATAACAATATTTTCTCCAAGAATGCGAGTTTATCTTTTGCGGATGAGGTACAGGTTAGTTAGAAAAGACGCCATAGACCTACTTGTACGTAGAAGCAAAATGGGTGACTGGTTTTTATTCTATATGCTGGGTGAAAATGTTGATTCGGTTATATTTCGAGATGTGTTACAAGAATTGGCAAATAAACTGGCAAGACACAATTTCCACCATGTACCAGGGTTTAAAGGTGAAATACAGGAAGCATAGTAAAGTGCCTTATATTTCTAAATAAAGATTTATTACTTAAATGTTTCTATGAAATAGGAATAAATGAAAGTAATAAAATATGTATTATTCACCTTAGCCACTAAAAGAGATTTTTTTACAAATTAATACAGGACGTAAAAATATAAGAATAATCCAACTGAGGGTATTAATAAAAATAAATTAAAGGCTTATTATAAATAAAAATATACTAAAATATCGTTTTAAATTTGGAATTTCAATGCCTATTTAAGATATCTAAACTTAAAAAAATACTATTAATGTTAAAAACTTTTCCATGACTATTTAAGAAAGACAATGTTAGCAATAACTAATTTTACAACAAACTAAATCCGTATTTAAAATGTCCATCTTATGCAGGTAACTTATCAGATACTGCTCTACTTAAACGATTTATACGCGAACCACTTGCTAAAAATCATTTTTTGCTGGTATACCTACATGTAACCCAATAATGGGCAAATCAGGAGATCGAGTAAGCCAGTGACACTAAGTCTTTCGCCATTATAGGAAATAAGGAATACACCAAGAAAAAGTGAAGACCGATTAACTAGATCGACTTTAGGATTGCATCAATAAAAGTATTTTACATATTATGGTAACTGAATTTCAAATATAAATGTAAATGTAAATGTGACACGCTAAAAGCGTCCCAGCGCAAATTTTACAGGAGAAAGGAAAGAACAGGCGACCGTGCTAGACAGCACAAACAGATACTTTTTAGAGCGTTGTTACATGCAAAATATTTGAAGAACATTATTTATTACTTCAAATAATTCAAGAGCCAGCGCAAACAGACAGTGTTTAACGCGTTGTAACATGCAAAATATTCTAAAAAAATAATAATTTATAATAGTAATTTTTTATTTCAGATAATTAAAGAGTAATCTTAAATAAATCTTTAACAATCCAGAAATTGATTTTTGACGATTAGGTCCCTTTCCTCGCAGCGCGTCACAAATATAGAAATAATCTAGTTTTAAATAACAGGGTTTGTGGATATAATCATAGTTTTAATCGATTAGATGCTAAATTCGAAACTCGATTTATAAAAAAAACCCTTAAATCGATTTTTCGGTTGTTGGGGCTATTTTGATGTAAAATAATATATTGATTTAAAATAATATTTTAATGTAAAATTACATTTACATTATACCCTGCTCAAAAAATTAAGGGGGAACACTTTTTAGTTTCTCTCTAAGTGGAAAAGATAATATATCGATTAATTAAATTAAAAGTCAAGTAATCACTTACTCTCAAGATAATATATCGATTAATTAAATTAAAAGTCAAGTAATCACTTACTCTGAAGATATGGTTAACAAAGTAATTATACACAGACCTGTGTAATTATAGGCTTAGTTTTGAGATTCAGGAGGCATGGTAACAGTAACAAATTACTGCAAAAACAAAAATGCCTCATTTTATTTTAAATGCACCATCCAAGAACACAGTATTCAGGACCTTTAGGTGAGCGCGAAATTTGGGGTGTAGGGGTGTCCAAATATCCGTCGAAAACATTTGATAGCGGGGAATGTGCATTTTGTTATTGCGCATCAACTGATGCCGCATCCTTCTGTTTCAAACTTTTAGGTTATATACATTTGGGTTTCCTTGTGTAGAGTTGTGCATTTTTTTTAATTTTTGTGGGCTGTACCAATAAAAATAAGGATGCTTCAATTATTTAAAGTTTTAAGCATATATTTTCTTTCAAGAGGTAGGCAAGTATGTCTTTATTTTTTATTTTTCTATTAACAATGGTAAGCGTAAATTATTATTTATTCACACCAGCACAGCGTTTGCGTATTTTTTAAGATATCACGTGACATGCGGTATGCGCAGTGACACTGTGCACATTCCCTCGAGATTTCACGCTTTTCGCTACATTGCAATGATTGGTTTGAAGACTACTTAAAGGTTTTAAATATAATGTTATTGGCATCATCTTAGCAAGTTAGGTAGGGGTGCCAGATGCTGTTCAAGACATTTTATGTGATTTTACAAAAATGACAAATTTAAGAATAAAAATTTACAATTAGCGTTGATAATTGTGTATTTTTGTAATGAAGGAAAATTCACACAAAATATCCCGTATATATATAGACCTAGTCGCCGCGACAATGTTGCCGCGAGAAGTTGCACCGTCATAGGCATTTACAAAATTTACTCGTCATTTTATTACATTTGATTTAAAAAAAGACAAGTTTCTAACTGATTTTATATATATTATGTATTTTAATACAATATACATACAGGGTGACAATTTTAAAACGAACAGCACTTAGTATTTCTTTAACTGATAACACTATAAAAATTTGGCAAAACACGTCAATTTACATATCAAGGGGGACAACTGTTGAGGTATTTGTTGTTGTATTACATTTAACCCCCTGACCTCCAGAGCACCTACCCCTAAAATTTTAAATAGCAACCCCTATTTATTTCACCATTTTTTAAATTTTAAAAAATTTTTAAATCCTATATAATTCTAGATAAGTTACATTTTTTTGCCAAAATTGAAGTGCACTTAACCATGGTTATAACCTCACAAATGTATGGAATGTATTTAGTCTATAAATTAAAATACTGCTAGATTTAATGGGGTTCCGCTGTAAAAGTGATAATAAAGATAATATAATTACTTTATTAATTGCTAAGAATGGTTTCCCTTGTTTTGTAAGCACAAGTACAGCCGATATTCAAACTGTTCGCAGACGTTTTGAAGTGTCTCTGGTAAAATATCCTTACATTCTTGCACAATCCTTTGTTGGAGTTGTTCAATTGACTCCGGTTGGGTTTTAAATACAATTGAAAGAAATCGAGCGGTGTCAGATCTGGTGACCTAGGTGGCCATTCAATGGGTCCCCTTCTACCAATTCATTGCTACGGATAATGATTATCCAACCACTCTCTTACTGGACGTACATAATGAAAGTGTAGCAAATGTTCATCGAAAACAAGATTTCCATCGTCGCGACGTCTCTTTGATATTCCACCTCATGAATTATACGAGGCTCAATTATTCTGTCTAACATTTCCGCATAGATTTCACCATTTCCATCTATGAACAAAGGATCAATGATAGTATCGCCTAATATGCCCGCCCAAACATTTATTTTTTGAGGATATTGTGTATGCCCTTCTCAAATAATTTGAGGATTGAAGAAGCTCCAATAACGGCAGTTTTGTTTGTTCACCTTGCCATTTAAGTAGAAGGCACTCATCACTGAAACAGATATTTTTTATAAACTGGGCCTGAGCAATAATCCTGCTAGTCATAACTTCGACAAACTCAATACGTCTGTTCGGGTCATCATCCCCTAATTCTTGAGTAATTTGTAGCTTGCATGGGTGAAAATTGTGAAGCTTCAATACTTTTCTGACTGATTCACGCGATAGTACAGTTTGTTCTGCCGTCAAGCGACTCAGTGGTAGCCATAGCAATTTGGCCAAAAACTTTAATCTGAGCGATCTCATTGACCAATATTGGCTCATTCCTCTTCTTATTGCAAACAGATCCAGTTTCTTCAAATTTAGCACTAAATCTTGGATATACTTGTGTCTAACATTTCTTTCTGGATGTCGATCATTAAATATGACCGCCGTTCTTGTGAAGCAACTGTTTTCCGCTCCATAAATAAAAATCATTTCAAGGCGTTATGCAATTATTCTGCTATTATAGTGTAAACCATTTTAAGAAAAGGATACAAAAAACACCCAACTAATATAGCTTATTTTTTACTAATCGATTCAGCAAATCAAATTAATATATTTACACCGGGCGTACGAAAATACGAACTGCACTTATCACTTCTAAATTATATCAGATATAACAAAACAAAAAAATGCACACAAAATTTGTTTTTAATAAAAAAAATGTAAATAAAGGTAAGCATTTTAAACGTAGTTTCACATTAAATATTAAAATGAATGGCTGTGGCGGCACTATAAACGCAACCGTTTGAAAACTTGCATTATTTTAATTTAAGGATTAAAATTTAATACATTCCACACATTCGTGAGGTAATCCACTTCAATTTAGGTAAAAATAAATTAAAAAGAAATGTAACTTATCTAGAATTACATAAGGATTTCAAAAATGGAGAAATAAATAGGGGTTGCTATTTAAAATTTTAGGGGTAGGTGCTCTGGAGGTCATAGGGTTAAATGTAATACAACAACAATTACCTCAACAGTTTTCCCCCTTGATATGTAAATTGACGTGTTTCGCCAAATTTTTATAGTGTCATATGACACTAATATTAGTTGAAGAAATATTAAGTGCTGTTCGTTTTAAAATTTTCACCCTGTATATAGGTATATATATAGGTATATGCCCTTTGGTTACAAATGAAAATGAAATACTATCAAATATTAACAATAAAAAAATATATTGGGGTACTTGTTAAAACTCAAAGCATAAAATTTACGATTAAAAATAAATATTGTTAGTTGGGCATTGATTTGGCGGTCTTTGACTTCAGCGCCAATAATATTACTTGCTTGTTTAAAAAATGTATTAATAATATGATTTTTTAAAGCTGTATTATTATGTGTTCACACTTGAATTCAACTATGTTCAAATCATTTAATTTGCATACAAAAATATTTGTACAATTTTTTATATTTTAAATGTAAAAAGGTAGTTTTGTGTTAACTTGACCAAAATAAAAATAATTGTACCTACATATTTGTATTTGCAATTTTTAGTCAGGGCCAGAACTTATTGCTAATAATGTTTAACAAAGGACTACTAGATTTAGGCTAAATTACAAATAAGGCCTCAAGAAGCCAAGTTTTGAGATAGGTACCGAATCATTTTTTAAAGTTAACACCCTTTTGTTATTTGGAGTCAAAATTGTTTGTTGTTTTATGACTATGTTTTTTAAGTTTTGTGAATTTGTTTTTTAAGCTTTACAAGCCCAGAAAACCAAGGTTTGGGAAAGATAAAGACGTGAAAAACGTACTACATACCTATTTAAAAAATATATTATCGGCTGTGAAGTTAAACGTGTGTTAAGTTTTAAATACGTACTGTTGTTCCCAATAATTACAAGATTTCAATATCAACGAGAAAATCAATAAATATTAGTAAATACTCGGGATTTGTTCAAATATTTGTCCAAATGTAGCATCGGTATTGTATTGTATTAATATTTTGTATTATGGAAATAGTAACCATATGTACGTACTATGTAAAAATACTACAAATATAGAAAAAAGTTCGTAAATAAACATTTCTCATGTATTTAACCATTCATTTTTGTTAAGAAAGAAGATCATATTGATTTTAAAGACTGTGAAGTTATTATTTCATAAAAAAACATAGCATGTGATAGTTTATTAACAGTGCATATAGGTGTTATAGATATAATATACCTACCTAATATGACATTTAAAAAGAGTTCAATAGAGTTTTCGTTACACATATTAACAAATAAACTACACCAAAACAAAAAACGTAAAGATAATTTACTTGACCCCAAATTTTGACATTGTTATTGTTCAATCGCAGCGCCAGCTTATTTGAAATTCGTCGCGAAATTTTGCATGCATGCTGGAGTGCTCGAGTATCGGTCGAAAATAGCCACTCTACGTGTGCGACCAGGGCCGTCTTTAACCTATTGGAGGCCCTGGGCATGTTAGGATAATGGGGCCCCTATGACTTTGACAGAACACTATTTTGTTAGAATAGACAAAGAAAGTAGATAAACAAGGTTAAATATTTATTTTTATTAACAATCACATGAAACGAATAGATAAATGATATTACATATTACTATATTAAGTCCACAAAAGTACTTAACTTTTTATAGTATACTTCCTTTTCTATAAGCAGTTGATTTATAAGTATACTTACTTGTAAAAAAAGGGACTCTAGATTGTGAATTTACTTACATTGATATAAAATTATTTAAAATTAGTTAGGTAAAAGAAACACAAGTATTAATTTTTAAACCCCAATTTAATTCAAGTATATTTGGTACAAATAAAATTATAAATAATAATACAAGTTATAAAAACAAACATAAAATAAACCATATGCAAATATGTACACTAAAAAACATGATTCTAATAATTAGGATATTTTATAAATAAATAATAAAGAATAAATAAAGAAAAACAATATTTTATTGATTTTTAAATAAAATTAGCTTATGTAGTTTTTGTCTAACATATTCTGGTTTTTCAGAAGCCTTTTTACCTTCCCAATTTAGTCTGGAGCTTAAAAATATAGCAATAATTTTTTTAATCAGAAGAATTCTATGATTGTCCAATATATCTTGGTTCTTTATATGATCAATCATTGCAGAATTTAAAAATACTGACTGTACATTATACAATACTTTATTACTTATATACATACATGGCACTATTTTTAAATTTAAATTTATTTGACATTTGTCTAGTTAATTTTTCAGTTTCTTGACAAATTATAACTACATTGTATTTGATCTGAGGGGGGCCCCTGTCGATCCCGGGGCCCTGGGCACTTGCCCAAAGTGCCCAATGGGAAAGAGGGGTCTGTGTGCGACACACTTCCACTCTAAAGCTAGCTTCAGAGTTGATTGAAAATGTAGCTTTATTGATCACCTAGAAACTGCCTATTGTCTCTCTTTAATTTTTAGAGGTGTAATCTATGCTTCCCCAAAATTTTTCCTATCATAGACCGTGAAATTTCAAACTGTTTGGCAACTTGTTTGGTTGACTGGGTCGGATCCTGTTCGATGCTTGCACAAATCAAATTGTCCCGGTATTCGCGCACTTAATTCACGGGCCTAGCCCTATTAGGAGAACATCGATTAACGCTGCCATATATGCACAACATTTTAAATCGTTGCTGGTAAGGGCCTATTTTGAAACATGTTGGGAAATTTTTGTCGATCTGATATCCCACTTAATTGCCACGTAATAAATGGTAGACCCTTATTTGAGAATATCTAAAATTTCACCACTTAGGGGTAGCATCCAAACTAGAACTTAACCATACTGAAATTGTTCATATTTGTATACAGACTTTAATAAAAGTATTACAGTACACACGTTAATCTATTTTTTAAGACATATTTAAATGTTTTAAACTATTACAAACCCGATATAAGATACATGAATATGTACCCTAACTTTTTAGCCCCAAAACAAATTTAAAGTTTCAATTTACCAATAAACCATTTTCCTATATTTTTTAAACATGGTAGGTAGCTTGCGTTTGAAATACACAATCAACAACTTTTAACAAAAACCGGCATTTAATAATTATTTGTTTGCCGTAAGGCCGAGTGTGCATTAACACGAGCTTGAAGAAAGATTTTCTCGTAAGTAATATCATAAGGGCATTTAATTTTTCCGAAAAGAATCGAAAAAACACGTTGCTAAGTAATATTTTAACAAAAAGCATGAGTGCTGGTGGCAACAAAAATCCGAGTCGAAGAGGAGGATTTTTGCACCTGCACGAATGCATTTTGTTAAAAAATATTACTTAGCATTGTGTTTTTTCGATTTTTTTCACAGGAAAAATTAGATGCCCGAATGGTATTTGACAAGACTATTTCATGAGTAACAGTTAACAATTAAAATATAAATTGCAATTTTTGGTGACAACAGCTGTCAAGTTTTGCAGAATAAACTGCTGACAGGTGCTGTTACACAGTTTTTTCACCTAGAAACCATTTGTAATTCAAAATTGCGCGTTTGTGATTGGTGGAAATTAAGACGAGGGAAATAGTCACAAGTAAAACACAATGTTTTTTCTGCGACCCTTTTATTTTTATTATTTTCAAATACAAAACAAAATAACCTGAACACGTGTTTGAAAGCTGTTAAAATTACTTTCATCTTAATTTCTTGAGGTATAAGTTACATACTTAAAATCAATAAACTTACCTTCTCAATTTAAATAAAGGCACTGAAAATTAGAATTTATTATACAAACACAATTAATTGTGTTCTAAATGATATTTAGATATACATACATACATACATACATACATACAAATACAATACAAAATTTGAAACGAATTTTAAACGATGCTTTCAATTTCTTTTCACACAGACCTGTCACTTTTCACAAATAAATGTCACTTTACATTCGTGTTTTACCTTGCCAATGAAAATATTCATTTTCTAAGCAACGATGTCATTACGAAAGTGACTTTTACATAGTGGTCGTAGAAAAAATACTTATGCAAGGTTCTTAACCAAAACTTCAAAAGCTGGTAGCTCAACCACTAGGCTTTAAAATTCAAAAAAATGGGGTCAATGCTTAGAGGTATGAGTCATACCTCTGTGCTTCGCTCAGTTGTAGCACAAAAAGCTCGATCCCAGACTGCAATGAAGGTTCGAAAATATTCCAGGAATATTCCCTATCGCCTAGGAATAATCCGCTTCATTCTAGGAATATTCATTGGGAATATTCATTGGGAATATGATCCTCTAAAACTTCCAAGCATCATCTAAGAATATTCCCAGTGAATATTCATTAGTTTAGTTGCAATACCTCTCACCGTTGCTTACTCACGCTTGATAACTATATATACCGATAGGTTAATAATATTAGTTGGAGATGTGCGTCTGTGATGGCACAGCCAAACAATGATTAGAGTGGAACTGATCTACTCAGTAACTCAATAATGGCTATAGTTAAGTTAAGTTCCTGGGTATAAGAGGCAATAAGGGCTGGGAATAATCCCCAAATTATATCAAGGAATATTCCCCTAACAATCCTTGAGTCTTCTGCAGGCAGATATATGGAATATTCTTTTTATGATTCCTTGGTTAACCAAAAAGCGGACATTTGATTATGCCAGGAATATTCCTGGGAATATTCTGGGACGAATGGAATATTCCTGGGAATATTCCTGACATGTGCAGGGAATGTGATTTTGCGGTCTGGGATTATCACCCTTTTGACATAAATAACTATTTAGCTAGGTTAACTAACAAATCGAAATATTGAATGTGTTAATACTGCACATACGTTTATCCTCTAAAGCATCCAGTGTGAGCACAGTAGTAGGGGGTGGAAAATATCTTAATTTATTTATAATTTAATTCAAGGTTATCAATTTTCATTTAATGTTATTAAGATGAAAACGCACACAAGACCGTGATTTTACTATATTTTTACACAGCTTAGGCTGTGCAATTACCGATGGGGTAAACCACTGATCTAAAATTAAAAATCGCATAGGAATTAACGGCAAAATCCGACCTTAGAATTGGTCCATTCGTGAGGTTTTTAAACAATGTCATCCCAAATGTAGATAAACAGCGGGTTACCTTATAGCGATAAGGTATTACACGATGTATTTTTCTGCATAAAACTTCAAAAGTCATTTTATATATTATATTTGATTCTTTTTTATAATTTAATGAATTGACTTTTTGTTTCCTACTATATTTAATTTTTTTTGTTAATCATATATTTTGACTAACGATTTATCAGAGTTAAAAATTTTAAATGTTAATAATCTATATTTTGTTTTGTTAGAACTTTCAGAAATAAGTTTTTGTGGTAACTTTTATAACAGATTAATAATTTAATTTATATGTTATAACTAATTTATATATTATTATTATTATTATCATGACTATTATGTATTTATTTGTTTCTTTCCTAAAATCAAAATTGTGTATACTTAGTATTTAATTGTTGTATTTTTGTATTTTATAAACTAGGTACTTAATAAATACTTTTTTATATTGTTTTTTTATCGAAATTTTAAATAGCAAAAATTTACCCTGCATACTGTAACGCTATGATCCTATTTTTGAATTAATAAGAAAACGCAAGATGTCTTAAGGTAAGATGTGTTATAGGTTAGAATTAATTTTTTCCCTCAAAAATAATAGTTTTAGAGTCTGCGAACATATGTTTTAAAATTACATGGGTCGTTTTCGAAAAACACCCGCCTTCCGCTGTCCGTACGTTTGAATTCCAATAACTTTATTAAAAATTATCGGATCTTATTGATTTAAAAACCAAGTGAAAGCCTAACAAGCCCTTAGTAAACTCTTTCAGAAAATGTTTCTTTAGTTATATTAGAATTTTTTTTTTAATTTTGAAACTTGTGAAACACACATTTTCGCATATCCCATTAGCGTTTTATAAAACTTACATACATGTTTTTTTTTAAATATTGAATAACCAGAACTTTGTGTTGCTTTATAGCAATCCATAACATCCTTAGTTAATACAGTAAACAATTTATATATAAATGAATTAATTTTAATATACTTTTTTTAAATTTGTCCCAGACATTTTTTCCGTTGCGTTACGTCCGTAGCGTTACCGATAGAATATTAAAAAAAAACATATATATGGCAACTTTTTTGGCACTCACGTGATCAACAAATGATGCTGGACGCAGTAGCATAACTAGGGGGGGCGGGGGGGCGGTCCGCCCCGGGCGGCACTTCTTGGGGCGGCAAAAATCGTGAAAGAAAATGCGAAAAAAACTGGAAGACAGAATATAAAAATAAAAAAAATATTTGATAATTAAATATTCTCTTTCGAAATAATATAATTCAAATTCCAATAGATTTGAGATTTATACAATTACTCCCAAAATATTCCAAATCAAATAAAGCTAGCAAAAAATAGAA